ACTGTACATTTGTCTGTATTCATTGAGCATGAAAAATAAGGTATTCGGATCATTGTGAAAAAAGTTTTCTTTTTTTAGGAAAAGAACAATTTCAAACAATCAAAAAATGATACTATGACGACCATTAATCCTTGACAAGATGTTTTAAAGTGTGTATTTCTTAGCTTAAACAACTCTCTAAAAGTAATTAATATAAGCTGCTAACAATCTCAGTGTAGTATCAGACAGGATAAAATGAACTAAGTGTTTGTTCTAAATTAAATAAAAGAAAGATTTTGTTTAAATTCTGTTCTTCGCTGCTTAGAAAATAAACTGGAAATCTATGTAGTAAGCTGTTCATACCTAATACATATATTTCTATGTAAGACACTTTCAAAGTTTCAGATCAGTTTTCTATTCATTTTGTTTTATCAGGTATAATTTTTAATCTTATGGAATCTTATTTCTGCGTATATGTATATATTTTTTGGCAACGTGTTGAACAAGCACCTCTTGACATTCCAAGTAATAGGTACTTGGTTTGAGCGTGAATGTTTGCACCAACACTAGAATTCAGTCACATCTGGTTGTTGAGTTCCAAATAAAGAGAAACTCTGTCGGCTATTATCCAAATTTAATATTAGGCTAGTTTCAGAGATTGATTCTTAGAGTTCAAAACTGGTCAATCCTGAAGAATATTTCATAATATTTGATTGTGAGTTTGGTATTATTTATTGGTATGACTGGCCACTCAAATATTTTCTATATATTCTCACTGCTGAGGAGTTCCATACTAGGATGAAACGGCCGTCTTATGCTTTCAGGTTTTTATCGGTGGTCTAACATTGGTCGGTTCATGATTTCAATGAAATCATAAGTTGCCAAACAATGAAGAGTAGCCATAGGTTATATTAAACACAGTAAGATTGTTTTAGATCTAAAAATTAAATTTGATCAAGTAAACTCACCATTTAAAATTCGGTAAAGTAATCGTCTTACTACTAAGTTGTGAGCTTCCTTTTGAATTGTAGTGATTCGGCCCTCTGAACTATGGTATGAAAAGTTGTTTAACACTAAAAAATTCTCAGTTTTGCTTTCAAATTTCTACAAGTTTATGGAGAAAACTGTACTCAAAATTGTAGGTAATGATCCATGTTGTGAAGAACGCTTGGTAAATACTTTATCAGAATCGTTGTGTACTTAAAGATAAATTACAAAAATCTACCTCTATTATTTACTGAATTCCTGATAGGATGACGAGAATGATAGTTTTTATTATCTTTCGAAATGATGTCATAATCAACACATAAGCAAACAACTTTTATAGATAACAAATGAATGACTTATAAATACTCTCTTAGATGGGATATTTGGTAGAATTTGTATAATCCTGTTGCTAGCAATCACGAATGAACTTCATGATTAATCTCTTTTGACATATGCAGATTCTAAGCGGATGCCTCGATGTGACCATTTCGTTATATGTTCTAGTATGTTTTGATTTTGAATACCAATAAAATCTAAGAGGGTCGTTTCTTCCAATTTTGAACTCATCAACTACGCCTCAGTATTGATATTTATACTGAAACTGGAACCTAGTACATTATCCAGTTAGCTACTGAGTACACTTATAAACATGACAGAATAATACTAATCTTTATGAATAAAAATCAAATTTGCCTTTTAGCTTTTTTGGAATCAGTAGCTAAATAAATAAAGAGTTGGTATTTGAAGTGCTAGTAGTAGGCTCGAGTTTCAATGTAAACACCAGCGTTAGGTTACAAATATATCTAGATGAATAGTCCATAACAGAAAGTAATGTGGACCCTAGATTCTAATGCTATACAGAAACTAGATGTGATTATTCTAGGTAGCATTCACGTTTCCCATTAATCGAAATAAATTCCTATTCTCTTAAAATAAAATAATCCAGAATTAATTATTATCTTGACAGTAAGCTTTAGGAAATAACTAACAATCCACAAGATTCGAACTGCTTTTACTATAAGAATACTTATAGTGATGTTTATTTCATCATAAGATGTATGTCATACATTTTCTGTTTATTTCCTTCCATAGATCACGTAGAAAACAATAATCACAAAGATGATTTTGTTTCGTAACGCCAATCAAACGACATAAAAATAATACATGTTAACTTAATAGCTTCAAGATCGAATAGCTTTTTAGATTTATCTTTAATATCATCATATCCCTTGAGATTATTGAATTATTATGTAGATATATAATTGGATTAACCCCCCTCTTTTGACCTCTGACCTGTTTCCAGCATATATATATATATATATATATATATATATATATATATATATATATATATATATATATAGTTATTATTGTTATCCAGTTATTTACACTCATTTATGTCAATTGTTTTCACACTATCTCCATGTAAAAAATTCTACCACATTTTTGGTTTGTAATCAGCTGACGAGAAATCTCGAAATAATATGAATTCATACTATTCTGCATCAATGTTTGTTCTTGCTCTATTCAAATTCATAAAGGGAACCAATTGCATGAAATTGAAGTTTCATTTATTCAGTTTCTTCCACATATAACATAATATTTTCATTAATAGTTGATGGATGTACAATTACTTTCTGAAAAAAATGTCTAATTTAATGAAAGAATTTATGCTGATTTTATGATGGTGCTGGAAACCATAATCGTGAAAATTTATCAACAGATGGAGAATTAAAGTTACACTGATAACGATTTCACGTATATACTTATACGCTTAATAAGTTTTATAAACTGCGCCGTTGATAATTTTCATAAAATATTTAAGCTACTCAAAAAGAATGAAAGTAGGATAATGTGAAAAGACAAAATAGGGATGAGACCTGATTGACGACCATTACTATGAAATCATCGTTGAAAAATGGGTAACATCTAATTATCAATACAGACCATAACAGTGAAGAAAGTACCAAAAAACTAGGTTCATAGGATGGAATCTAATCTGAATATTGTAAATGATGTATTAAAACAGTCTAGAGGGAATATTAGATAAAATGAAATCAATTTTCAATAGAAATCGTACACAACCTATGGATGAAAAGTGATAAAATATCACGATTAGAAATAAATTTCGACAGGTTGAATAAACAAAAATATCAACGGCCAATTACAAAACAATGTATAATTGACACATGAGCCCCTCAGAAAACATTTCATAGATAAGAACACCACATCTGAAATTGATGGAGATCGGTCAGTATGATCATCGAATGACTGACAAAGTATAAAAAATATTTGATATTGGCGGGAACAATCTAACAAGTACTAATCGAAGAGATTTCCAAAAGCAGATCAATCAGTGAAATAAACTCATTAATTTGAAATGTTATATTTTTATACAACATATTCAATCAAAAGCATGCAGCTTGACCTGAGTAAAAGGTAATTAATTAGTGATGAAAATCAAGGTTACCAAATAGCTACTGAACCTACAGCTCTGCTAATCACATGATTATGTTCATTTTTCTAGTGTTATAACATGTTAAATCTTGTGATCAGCCTTTCGGTATTTCCTAAATGACAGTGATTGATCCTGGATCTACACGAATTCGATAGACTGGACAATTAACGCACAACTATAATGTGAAGGAAGAAGTCAGGAGGAGCTCGACATTTGAGAAAACATACTTAAGACAGATCAAATCTGTATATATTGAAACAAACATGGCCTTATAAAAATAACAAACGTGAGAACAGCTAATCTAATGACAGTAAAGTCAGTAGAGCAATACTAAAACGTTACTGAGGTTATTATTCCACTAAAGAACCAACGTTTCTTAACAAAAACTGGACAACCTAAAGTTATCTTAGAATAACATCATATTTGAGGACGTTTGAAGATAAAACTAAAGTGACAACCTTGAAATGAATAGAACCAGCCAATCAAAATAAAGATACTGATTGTTGAACTTAAGCGCGAATTTTAAAACGGAACTAAGGATAGCGCAACACACTTCAGTCATATTCCACCAATAAGCGATTTCGATTTTCATATTGTCTTTATCTTATGTTATGGATAATTTTTATTAGTTGCTTTGATTATTAAATGTAAGTACATTCTAGGTGCTTACTGAGTTGTAGGCTCACATTTTCTCTTGTTTCTTCCTATTCCAGATTTCCTCACACACTTCCTCAGCGCCTGGTATATATTAGTATCTCATCAGGGGATTTACCCATAGGGTGATTCTAGCCACCTAATCGAGTCGCACATGATAATAGCCTTTTGCAGGACACCATTTTTCATAAGACTTTGCATTTCCGCTAATTTGTTTGGTGATATGAGTGTAGATCGGTTACAGAATGTTGAACCATTGGGAAAAAGCATCTTGCATAGCTGTGGTCAGGAAATGACTCGCATGCCTGTAACTTATTTTTGTGTGGCTATAAATATTGATTAACGCTTGACTAAAGGGAGTTGGCTTACCCGCCATCTTCACTGCGCGTCGTTTTGCTTTGTTCTATTCCATTCGCTCTATGCACAAAATATATGTATTCAAAAGTCCAGTCTCGTTATTTGACTTATTTAATTCCGTCATTGACTAACGCGATTTAAGCTGATGATTATATATGAGGATAGGCGACATATATACTTTAATAACAATCATTCATACGATCGAATTAAAGTCAGAACTCGGGCCACTAAAGTGGAGAGCCCGTCAACAAACATCGTTCGGTCTAAACGACGAGCCCTACAAAAGTGGTGAGCCCGCCGTCGACGACGAACTCAAAGTAGCAAGCTATGTCGAAGAAATCCAGAAGTGGTTAGAATAAAAATGCACACATTTTGAAATATATGCCTTCTGGATGCTTACTGATGACTAGATGACAAGGAAGATCTTCGTCCAAAACCTATGAATGAGCTTTTTTCCTATAACTGATTCACAATCGGTTAACGAGTTGAAAATATACTACCGTTTTACGAAATACAAACGGAATTGTGACAACCGTTTGAAAGGTTTTTAATAAGCAAAATACCATCGAAAAGTATAAAATTTATTACATGTAAAATTAAAAAAGAGTACAAACATTTTGTTGAAATAATAAGTATAAGGACGGTTCAACGATTAGGCCTTATACAATGAGTAATTTCCAAATAGTAAAAGTGAATCAAACAACTTAGTCAATCATATGTGCTTGTTTCCATGATGGGATGGGTTTGATTTGTGTTTTAATCGAAAGCGGAGAAGTGAATCTTAAAGTGTATTGAGGTCCACCGGCCTTATCATTTGTACCTAGATTATAACATAGAAAAAAAGAATCACAAGTTAATCAGGTACACAAAAATGAAATCCGACAAATTTAACTTCGAAATTATTGAAGATGATCCTACTTTCACTTGAATAACGCAACGGAGTCCGAATATTAAGGTTATCGTAACATAATAATAATAATGATAATAAACATATTATTATATATTAGTACGATTAAGTACTATTTAATCTTGTGCTAATTTCATTTCGATTATCTATTTACTCTGAAGAAGTGGCTTACACTAAGTCACGAGACGTCAGAAAGACCACAATAGTTCAACTTTTCTATTTTTATATGATAAGCCAATAGATGGTTTGAGAATCTTTTTTTTATCACATTCAATAATCAGTTAAGTTTAGTTCATACATAGTAAAATAAGAAAGTAACGATAACTTGGAAATTTTAGAGGCTTAATGTAATTTCAATTAGTTTATATTATAAAGTTATGAATTTTTGTAAACTTACACATCAGCATTATATTTTATTCATATTCTTATAATAATAAGGTAATGAACGTCAACTAGTTTTCCTACTACTTATAAATAAACATATAAAAGTCATGTCAAAAACTGATAATTATTAAAATTTAATTAATCTGTACTGTCAAATCATTCATAATTACTAATTACTAAAGGTCAGAGCATAGAACAAATGGATTATTGAAAATTCTATTCTATTAAATTGACAATGAATAATAAGTGACATGATACATTGTGAAAACCTCATAACTTGTTTAATCTTATATGAATCAGTGAACAAGTAAACTTGTATACTAAAACTTTTGACCTGATTAAATTAGTGAAATTATACGTTATCATTATGTAAAAATCATATATGAAATAAAACCAGCGATTAGAATTTACATAATTCAAATGTTTCATTCAGAAAACTTTTCAATCGCTGAGATTATTTCAAATATAATGTTCATATATAAGGATTTCTCTATACTCGGTGTTCAAGTTAAGTGAAACTATTCGTTTAAATATTCATGAACATTCCTATATACGTTATCAATAGAATAATATTAATTCTGTGCCGATTTCACCATAATACATCATTAACTTCAAAGTATACAGAAAATAACATTCAAACCAAATTTAATAAGCTTCAGTAAATCTGACTAGATGCTATGTTTGAAGAGATTACGGGTTCACCTAATCTGAGGACGGAACGAAGACTCTGTGACACAATGACTGAATTGGCTAAATATTCTGATGATCCCAGCACTGCTAACTAGAGAGAGAGAAGTTCAAGTTCGACAGGGAGAAATATATTCCACAAGCAGCCAGAAGCACGAACTACAACAATAAGCACAACGCAAGCGTATATATACAGCATAAAAATGTCCATGGGAAACGGTAAAAATAGCATACTGAGAGACAACGAACCAATAGTACTTAAGGTCCTCCCAAGTGGGAAATACAACACGAAGGTGAAATGGTTGTTTTTGGTGTGAAAACAAGAAATTCGGCTAGCCCCAGTTCGCCTATCGACAGAAAGAAATCTCCCGCTGAACATCCTGTTGGATACCTTTAATCTACCCGTAGTCCCAACACAGGAAGGAGTACACCGACAGGTCGATCTACGATCCAGAAGGTGGTCACTCCGACAACGGCGACAGACGGTCACGATGCAAATGGACCCCAGGAAATTACGTTATCAGAAGGGGAGGTGTTGGGGTTGTTAGATTCCTAGAACTCACTTTGTAAATGCCTTATTTTTGTAATTCTATTGTAAAATTTCGAATTTCTTGTTTTCACACCAAAAACAACCATTTCACCTTCGTGTTGTATTTCCCACTTGGGAGGACCTTAAATACTATTGGTTCGTTGTCTCTCTTAGTATGCTATTTTTGCCGTTTCCCAAGGACATTTTTATGCTGTATATATACGCTTGCGTTATGCTTATTGTTGTAGTTCGTACTTCTGGCTGCTTGTGGAATATATTTCTCCCTTTCGAACTTGGACTTTTCTCTCTAGTTAGTAGTGCTGGGACCATCGGGATAGTTAGCTAATTCAGTCATTGTGTCACAGAGTCTTCGTCCCGTCCTCAGATTAGGTGAACCCGTGATCTCTTTAGACATGGCAAAATAGTTTGCAACTAATTAAATGATTTTTTTCAACGGTTCAACACAATGAACAATTTTGTTTTTTTAATATTTAAACTAAGTACTAGGGTTTAATTATTGAATTAAATAATAATAATTCTCTTAAATTCTACTGACAAAGGCAGAAAACTAAAAATGCTATGGTTTCATTGTTAGATTTTTTTAAATGGTGCAATACTTTAAATTTACCTGATAATCTAGCTCCGCCAAATGGTTGTTGACCGACTACAGATCCAGTTGATTGAACATTTACATAAAAATTACCAGTTGTATCGATAAGGCGATCAGTTGCATACTTAATAAATTCTTCATCCTGAGCAAAAATAGAACCTTTTTTTTAAAAGAAAAGACAATAATATCTTAATTTTTTTCAAACCAATAACTGGATAGTTGAAGAGAGAAAAAAAGAAAGAAGACGAAAACTGTTACAACTTATTTGAACAATATGAAATGTAAATTTCAATGAGGTGATTTTTACAAACATTCTACTAAACTATTGACTTCCAAATTAAAATGAAGCATTTCATTTTTACACAAACTACTGATTACTTTTGAGATTATTGCATTACATAAATTGACCTTATTATATGAAAAGTAGAAATATCTTAAATTTACTTATCACTTATTAATATGAATAGAAAAACTTCAAAATCAAATAATAAAAATAATGTTCTGTGCTTTATTCTTACTGTCATACAAATATTTTAGGTGTATTTATTTATAACCTCAAGGTAAGATTACGGAAAATATTTGTAACTCAGGATGAAAGTGACGTGTTATCTAAGCTGGATGATTCAATTGTAAAGCTTTCATTACCTTTCTGGACAACATCATCAACAAATACTTTAATGAGAAGTGAACTATTACAATTTTTCCATAATTGACTGTTTGTTTTATTGACTTGAAATTTGGTCAGTTGTTTTCCATAACAGTGTTGTCATTATTTTAATGTTTGTTTTAACTGTTTCCAGTTGCGAAGTAATCCCATTATTTCACTTCTCATTGAAGTACGTGTTGATAATGCTGTCCAGAAGGGTGATGAAGGCTTCATAATTAAACCATCCAGCTCAGAGAATGCAACACATCAGCAGCGTCTAAACATGATAATTTAGTAGTTGGAAAATGTCAACAAAAGATCATAGGAAATCGATTAATACCATAGGTTTAAAGCCTGAATCATAATTATAACTGTTATCATAAATCTGTGACTGACCGCCTGAAGAGCTTGCTTATACTACTTTTCGTCACAGTTGCATGGACTTCATACACATCAAATTATATGGAGTTTGACAATAAAAGTATGTGTTTCTGTACTTCACCTATTTTATGGAAGCTAGAGAAATCGCAAACCGATTTTTAAAATCATATCAACAGCGCAAAATATGATCTAAAACTTAATTCTTCTAAGTGGGAATTTTCAAATTAATACGTTAAAATTTTCTAAAGGATGATTAATTCATGAGGGTTTAGATTGTCTCCCTATCAACATGTGACTGAACTTCGATAAAATTGGTAGCTATTTGAACCGCTTAGCTTATTGAACAATCCTATAATATTTGACTTGGTGGGTACTGGATTCGAGTTTTAGTGTAGACACCAACAATGAAATGTAGGTACATCAGGTTGATGAGTTCAAAATGAGACGAAACGAGCACCCTGGATCCAATACAGCTCAGCACAACACAAATCTACTGAAATTTGTTGAAGATAATTTCAACCACTAAAGAGATTGTAGTATCATCAGCTTGTTTTCTTGATAACTGATTATGAACGCTTCGTCAACAGGAGATTGATGGCTTAAAACCGGAAAATGAAGTGCATACGATAATCCCTCGTTGACTTGAAAAACAATTAATGAGTAAAGGAGAGTTTTATGATATATATTCATGTAGTTACCAGTTAATGCATAATCCGTAGTTGAATCAACAAGATCTAAGGTTTTCTCAATTTCATTTTCACGATATAAATATGTGCATAAAACCGGTCCAAAAATGTCATCCTAAATTTAATTCGGAAAAAAAGCACAAATGTTAATATAAATGAAATCAATATATGAAATATCCATATCCATATAATCAGATTCAATCTGAGTTGTTTGATGAAATAAACCCTACGAATGAAAGAATAACTCACTGTATAAGAAATACGTAACATATGTTGATTAGAATTTTTATATTTAATATATACTTTTAACATAATGGTGAAAATGTTTTAACGAAAATAATTGGTTAATTCAGCGTAATGTAAGAATGTAAAAATATCAACACGAAACCAACTTGGATGTAAGTAATTCAAACAAACTTTACAATGTAATATATCCTACGTGACTTGGTTCATCTAATAAGAGAAAATTAGAATAAGGTATAGTTCACTAAGCAGTAATAACCGCTAACTAAATAGTTGTTTGCAGAATTCAGTTAGTCAGTCAGTAACAACATAGAACTTCGTACGTACCTACATCGGTTCGAGTTGCCATACCAGAATTATTCAAAATTTATTATGTACCCCTCCCATTTTTAAATAAGTGACCATACCAAACTTATTCATATATTTGATTACATGATTTCCATATAAATACAATTGTACAGCATTTGAAAATGAAAAGAAGATAAACCTTGATGAAATAGTTGTTTAATTCCTAAATAAGAATTATGATGAATTCAAGTATTATTGAAATGAATTATTTTCGAAAATAAAATAAATGTAAACTATAATGTAGCTATTAGGACTCAGTAGCTGAGTGGATAACGCGATGGCGTTTAAAGCGAATGGTACTGGGTTCGAGTCCTAGAGTGAATATCAACTCTCTGAGATGCAGGTACACCCAGCTGACGCGTCCCAAGTAGGACGAAACGCGCGTCCTGGATTCCACTGCTAGCCACTATCCATCATTGCTTACAAATAGCTTGTGAATTAAGGTAATATCGAGGCATACACACAGTATGCAGATATGCTAATAACAGACTGATCAATTGCAGTCTTAAACCTCAATGGGAAGATACAAGCTAAACAATACCAAATGAATTTTAATGTAGTATTATTCTACAATAGTATTTTTATTAATAGATAATCTTGAATTTATAAGTTGTTAATTAAAAAGTGATTAAATTTTATCGACTAGATGCTCATTAAACATCCATTTAACAATAAATTTACTATAGCTATATTGAAAATCAACTTTAATTATATTCATATGGAAGTTATAAAAAGTAAACAAATGAAGTATCAATTAAATCCTCTATGTCTTTGTTATCACATATATTGAATTGAATGTCTATGATCAATGACATCAAGTTAAGCATTTGAAGAAAATCATGTAAAAGGTTCAAGTCACATGCAACCTGTTCAATAGTAAACTATAAGCAAAGATAAAAATTTTGATCATTCAATCAAAGTTTAGATTACACATCATCTCCCATCCATCCATGTACACACAGTTAATACAAGAATATTTTACACATAGTATTTCACTTTTGACCAACATGACTGTTGGGGTCCACATAGAATTCCCCAATAAGGTCTTCAGAGGCCAAGAGAAGACTAAGGACATTTCGTTAAGTTAGCATGCATTGGGAGCACCCTAGGAACTACTAGTAAATAAATGAATTGTGTGATAAAATCTGATTAGATTACATTACTACTAAATTAACGATATCTTCAGAAGTTTTCAAAGGTTATAGGTTACCAGTAAACGATAAATACTGCTGTTCTCTGCACACAAACGAGCCTAGAAGTAAAGCTTTTCTCCTTACTTTGGGTCTTTTCCCTACAATCGGGAGATCTATGAAGCAGTTATGGAATTTTTACGAAGCGTCCGAGTAGCAGACTTATCGACAACTCTATGATGAGAAGCGGAAACTTTTTTGATATACCAATTCATTTTTAAAATTGTATTAGCAAAGAGAAAATTGGTTATTCTTTGAAAAAGTGACTTAAACTAAGCTTTGAAATATCAGAAGTTCGACTTCCCTACTAATTAGGATGGAATAAACTTGTCAATGTTTTCTTTTAGTGAGATATTAGTATGACAATTAATTTAAGTTTGGTATCCTTAATTCACAGTACACATATTTATTGATACAGTATGTTTAATTTCGCTTCATGACAGTAAAACACGAGCATAACAAAAATATGGGTGGTTTCATAAGATCATCGTCAATTCCAAAATATAAGTACCCAATAAAAACATCAAATGCAAAGAAAAAATGACAAGCATGTAAAAATTACACAGTTAGGGCTTTCAATTGAATAGCAAATGTGCATTAAGTGAGATGAACAGAATAAGTTTGACACACATCAGTCATCATGCTAATATGAAAGATGAAGGATCCAAAGATATTAATAGCATTGAAAATGTCAAGTTCACACATGGTATTAAATCATGAATTGTCTAATTACCATTCTGAAATGTAAAATGACAGAAAGTTATCGGAATACAAATAACATTGTAAACATAATTATAAAGGGATATTAAACAAAATAAAATGACGTTTTGTTGCTAAACAATATCGATTCACAAGTACAAACAACGATATATACCTTCATTAACTTATCTGTTGGATTATTAGTAAGCAAAATTGTAGGTTGAATAAAGTAACCAACGCTGTCATCTCTATGACCACCGGCGACAACTTCAACATCTGGACAACTGGATGCGTATTGTAGATAGCCAGAGATTTTATTGAATGCCTAAAATCGAATTTATATTCATTTTGTGTAGTGGTAAATTGATGATAAAAACAATTTCCAAATAATATCAAAAAGATTTAAAAATCTCATTGTATTTAATAATTCAGTATTAACCGACCTATAATATTTTATTTGTAGTATGTTACAATTATTTCGATAGGAATGATGAAATACATTATTATTCCGAAATATAATTGTTAGGTCATTGATCTGTCTACCCAATAATACACAGGAGGGAACTTGTCTCGATGTAGGATAATACCTTGACACTATAGGCTAGCTGAATTAACCTTGAGGCTAGAGATGTGTAAGTTCGAGATGAGACTAACGACCTTGGGTGAGTAGAGGAAAACTAAAGTACTTTACCTAGTCCGTCAGAATTGCACACTTCTCTTCTTTTAGATAGAATCTATATTCAGATATTTTGGCTAAAACAGCATCGATTAAATAACTTGGACTTACTGGAACCTGTAACAATTACATCATCCAAATAGACAGCAACTCCTGGCGAATTCGCCAGCGTAGTGTTCATTATCTGTTGAAAGATAGCTGACGCCAGTATTACATCAAAAGGTAAACATTTACATTGGTAAAGGCTTCTTTTGATATGTTGGCGGGATATAGATTGGATTAAAGCATGTTCCGTGCAGTATTGTGTTGGGACACACTGATTGGCCACTTCTTAGCCGGTCAGCGCTGCTAGATACTTGGAGAAGACTAGAATATTCTTACGTAAAAATTATAAATAGACTAGCGTTTTTCTTACTGTGATTCCTACTTCCATTCAAACTTGTTTATTTGGAATATAATTAAGTTCCTGTTCAATAGTGTTCTGATTTGGAGACTTGACTTGGAATTATTATGAGAACATATTGCATCGGAGGTATTTGTTTGGAAATTTTATGAGATCAAGTTACATTAGAGGCATTAGATTCAGAAATATTATGAGAAATCCGGATAGATTCAGAGGAAGGCTTATGAGAACATACCTTATGCCGGCTTGTCAGATAGCAGAAGCTATCGAATTTATGTTCCTTGAATTGCATCTCGCACACGACTTCTGTTAGCCTCACTATAACTCTTCAGGCATTTCGGGCGATATGTTCGGTTGGTTGAATGCGTGTACATCCTAGCTTACGCCACATGTTTTTGCAAATCAGTGTAATATCGGAAGCTGCATCTAACTGAATACGATAGGTTTTTCACTCACCACTAAGTCTACATACCTCAGTTTACTATAAAAGTTGCAAACATGCTCTTGGTTTGACCCAGTGAATGTCGCTTCATATTTCCGCTACGACATTTCGGCTGACATTTCTTTGGTGGACAGTGACTTTCTTTATGACCAGCGCGATGACAAAGGAGGCATTTGCAATTCTTGAACGGACATAAATTCACAAAATACCATGCTCCACAAAACTAACACGGTGATGGTGGTTTACCAATAGCTTGCTGTGATTTGTTTAGAAGATTCAAAAGCATTTACTGAACTGAAATCGGAAGGTTTCACCTTCGTGACCATTCGCAGTCATATTAGGTTCCTGTTTAATAAGCGTTAAAATCCTGGTGCAGATGTCCACATCTTCTGGATTCTTTAATCCACAAATAAAAATAAGACATTTAAATTTATCTGCTGTAATTCCATTTAGTTTAAATCATTCGAATTCTCGATTTACTTTTCTAGAATATGTGAGATAATCACCAGATGGTGATTTTGATATTTGAAAACACTGACAGCCAATGTTGAATAATGAGGACTATTCAACAAAATTTTTAAGTAATATATGGACTGTATCATTAAAAGATAAATCCCGAAGATTTTGTGGCAGGATGAAATTCACATATTTACTATTATTATTGTTCCGAGTCTTCTCAGAAGTAAGCTAACTTTAGCTACGTCATCGAAATTTGAGCATTCGGTGCGGAACATGTCTTCGAAACGAAGAAACCAGGAATCGGATATGATATCATATTCAGGATCACAGTTGAATTCACAAATGGAATTTGAGATGCTTTCATATTAATCTGGTTGAGAGATTCAAGTTGAATGAAATGAGAGCTTCTGCATCAGAGCGTCCAAAAACGTCATTTGATTTGCATCACTCTGCGCTTGTTATATTTGTAGAAGAGTTTTAAAGTCATCCGAAGATATGGGCACTTCCTTTTAAGGAAAGAAATGAGTGAGCCCGGATTGAAACTAACGATCATGGGCGAAGACGAAAACCATTGTCACCTGATTGGTTGACAAGCGAGAGAGAAGACGAGTCAACTGAAACACTACCCGATTTATTTCCAATTCCCAATCCCCAATTCCAATTCAGATTAGTATAAAAAGATAAATGAATAAACAGATGACTAGCATTACTGACAACTGGATCTATCTTCAGTGACGTTACTTCACTTAATTCAAAGCTCCTAAAATACTAACATTTAGTTTTGTCCCTATTTCACTCTATAAATCATAAGCTTTCGTTTGATGTATGATTCATTGCCATACCCTTTTCTGTTATGAAGCTATTGTAATTTAAAAGTTACCTTTGGTACTCTATTTTACTACCCTAATGGCCAGTTTGGACATAATTATATTTTTCTAATTCAAAAATGAAGAATACGTGAGCGAACAATTGTTTGTACGCTGTAGTCATGTTAGTCATCTCCCGTGTATAATATTGGGTAGACAGATCAAGAATGTAACAGTTGGGTGGCTATTCCTAATATAATTAGGAAAACAACAAACGAAGTAGGATATTCTTAATTTTTAAAAATGACCCAAATAAATTAAGATATAGAGTGAAATAACAACAGAAAGGAGCCAATAAACTGAAAGATTCGGCAAATTGGAATTCGTATAAAGCAAATTAGAAGAAGAAAAGTAGTTATTTTGATGGGTACTTCATAATCAGTGGTTAGACTAAATTATGTATCCAAATCAATCATTATATGATGAACAATATTGCATTTTGATCTTTGATGAATAAACTAGTTAAGAAACTGAGAGAACCAGATTATTAGTTGAACTTTAACTATTTAAGTACATATTTTAGTACACTCTTAGGTCATGCTCTTCAAACCTTTTTATTAGCTTATTTATTACGTAAAGACTCGCGTATATGGCTGGGAGTCTCACACTTCAGATGTGATGTCTAGTGATATTACCCGGTAGCTCAAACAGAGGAAGGTGGAGCAAGGGTCTTAACCTGTGACTTAATAGCTAAAAACCTAAATTCTTAACATGTGAGCCACAGTACCTTTACTAATACTACCTGGCTGCTTATATAAAAGCTCGGAACTGTAACCAAGTGGTCGGGATTGAAATCCTGTAGCCATGAATTCGTTATCAAAGATTCCAATACAAATCACATAATAATTGATCTTTGTTTCTACTATAGTTAAGTGATCATAAAAACCCCTTAAAAAGATTATAATAATACTAACTGCTCACAGTATGATCAATAACTGCAGATGAAAATGTATCTGAATCAAGTGGTGATCCGATTTTTAATTGTTCATGATGACCAAGTAAAAGTTGTTTAAATTTTGGCCATAAATTTTCTGGCACATAAAGTCGACTACATGCGCTACATTTTTGACCAGAGTATTCAAATGAACTTCGGATAGTGCCGAGAGCAGCTTCTTCCAAGTTTGCAGATGGATGGATAAAATGATAATTTTTGCCGCCACATTCTGTAACAATTTTATTGAATAAATTAGTATAAATATAAAGAGGTCGAGAAGTGATTTATTATTATTATTATTGTGTGAGTTAATACTAGCATATTAGATTTAACTGACAAGCGAACAAAACACAAAACGATAAAGAGATTTCATACAATTTAAAATCAATGAAAGGTTGGATAATATCATGATCATACAATTATATATATATATATAAGAATATGCTCAACACAAAAAACACTGAGCACAAAATATTATTTACTGAGAAAATCATATTAATTAAAACATTAAGTGATTGTTTTAGTTAGCTAGAACTTAAATTTAAGGCAATTAGTCCTTTTGATAAATTCCGATAGTGTAATAAGAAAACGAAGATTATCAGAACTATGTTCTGATAAGTTCTGCCACATTTAGCTAGGACCCTATGAAATTATGTTTCCAGTAGCTTTGTCGTGCGTAAACTTCAGCGGCCTCAAGATGACATAATAACACTACACCATAACCAGTTGAACCCAAACCGAATGATGGTGCATTTAGATATCCAGATTGAGAACCCCTCGCCTGCCACCAGCTATTACGAAGTACCATTAGAAGGAGATGTGGCATACCCATGTTCACAGCCAGGCACTGAGGACAGTGCCTCCTAAAGAGACGGGGTAGTGTAACAATATTAAAAATCACTATATGTGTCGTTGTTAATGTGAATCTGTTTTTCTTATTGCACGGTAAAAAAAAATAAACAGGCTGGAAAAAGAGGAACAAACCCTACATAAATTAGACTTGCAAAATGATGGGTGAGACATTTTTGCGATAAGTTTTTCCCTTTTGTACATGTACCGCGTTATTCGGTTTTTGAAATATATATGCGTTGTGCTAGCACTTCGTGTTCTTGCTCCTTAGACATTAACTGATACTGTTTCGCGTGCTGTCGTTTCACATCTCTTCTGCTTCCAAATAAACGCAGCCTATGCTCCTCAACGAGGGGTGACAGGAGTAAGTAATTCACAATGCGGAGTGTCATTAAACCGAATTATGATATTTGTTCTGAGAGGAGAAAATATCATTTTTATATCAAAGATGTAACACGAAACAGATATTAGCACTCAAAAACATTGAGTAAGTTGTAAAATTTGAGGCATTTCAATGACACTTTCAGTAGTTCACATCGAACATAGAACAATCTTACAAAAACTGAATGGATCAAAAAAACCACGTTATTTTCAACATTTGAGTTATAAAAATACATTAAAATTACAATTATATTTATTAGATAATTATATGCAAAACAGATACATACTATGATATTTTTATTATAAACTAAATTGTTGAAGTTCATCACCACTGTACTAGACGTCTTTTTCATTCCAGTTTGCAGTTCATAAGCAGCGGGTATCTACAAATTCATACGGTATGGAACTAACTATGACTATTAAATCTCACGGACATACGATGCTGACCGATCAGAGTGAAAACCTAATGGACCGTATGCTTCCCAAAGTTCTGCCTTAAAGTCTTATTTGAGTTACCTTAAATAATTTCTTATTACACAATCCCTGTATTTTAATATTCGATATTGTTCGGAACATATTAACAGTATAGACTCTTCTTTGAATGAGCTACTGATTACATCCATCAATTCATAGTACATTGTTTTTAGTAGAAGATTGTAAAATTAAATGTTTCGTGTATTGATTTGCTCAGGAGATTGGAACACACAAATGTAATATTGTATGTATTATTAGACCTAATAATATGTAACAGTATCCCTTCAAAAACCATCCGTACATTGAAGTAATTATTTTTTTCCATAGTCAAGTACTTCAAATAAAGCTAAAGTAAATCGACTCAATAATCTGACTGAACAATTTTTTATGCATACAAGAAGAGAACATGTGAAATTCAACAGAAAATGAAATATTAAGCGCTTCACCAAACCGATTTTATAACTTACCACCTATAGTTCTTGGATAACCACGATACTTATCAACATTGTCGCCAATCATTTTCAATATAGCACGAAAAGTTCTAAAATGTAAACCGTAATTCCTAATAAAAGTGCAACAGTAGGAAAATCGAAGTGGAAAACGTTGGCAGTCAAAACCTTCTTAAATAGATCAAATCTTAAAGTGAATTCTGAACTAAATGGCTGATAAGTCTTGTGGATTGAACGCTATATTTATTTCCTAAGCTATTCCGATGACCCGCACGCTAGAACTACACAGCGACTTGAACACCAGAGAGAAGACGCAAGTACGAGAGAAAATACTTTACTCCAAGGTTCATTTTTATTATAGAAAATATAGGGTTTTTATAATATATCTAAACGTCCTTGGGTCGCTGGAATATTCTGGAATGCTACTAAACATATTAGCACTGTAGTAGCCAACCAATCAGAGCTTCCGCATGTGACGTTTCGCTACCTTGATATTTCTGGCCAAGACTCCAAATGAACGCTGATTGGACGAAACACTTCTTAGTGTTTCTTGATGATTGCTTGTCTTTTGCAAGCGATTTTCGGATCACTCCAACAATGGCACAGAGACTAAACACGTACTCTAAGATTGGCTTAATCATTACACAGCAACAAAGACGCTTACGCTGTGCAAGGTAACAACACATCAATCGTTGGGTAAAACAGTATAAGAAAAAAGAACCGATCGCTTAAAAGAGAACCTTCCTAGATTTAAGAGAAGACACACTTATTGTATAAAACGCCTGTCATTCAGTCAGTAACAGTTGATAATTGACCTTTGACAGCAGCGAATGAAATAATATAAAAGACAAAATAACTATTAAGAAGGGAGGAAAGGAGAATGTGGTTAGCAGGTTGAAGGCGGTTTCTGTGAGAAAGCAAAAATTAGAATTACAAAACTTTAAAAAAAAACTAAGGAGTTCGAGCTTTCCAAACTTATCGTTTAAGCTGTAACAAGACAGTTTGAATATTCGAAACCATAACACCATAACTACTCTATAACTCAAAGCTTTTTAGTGATCATTGTCTGACTCCAATATGATTGAGTGATGATAATGCCAGTGCAATATACGACCTATTAAACTTCGTACATCTTCTGAAGACTAATAACGTTAATACAACACAGAAATAAAAAGTTGGATAGAAGTAGCATCTAGGACATTTATATTTCAAACATTCGTGTGAGCGGGTAAACTGAACGAGTGAATATGTAAATTGAGTAGATGGAGAAAGGAGTAACTGTAAAAAGTTACTCTGTAAACAATGACTGATTTTTTCTTTGTATAAAGTGAAAAATGTATAAATTAAAAAATAACCAATTAGGGTGTATAGTTCAGAAACACAGGGTGAGTGCCACTAAAATATGTTCAAAGTCAGAAGTGAATAATCAACATGAGCATATATGTGAAAATAGATGAGTAATATAGACAAATGGAAATAGACATTCACGCATATAATATAATCAATAAAGTTATAACTGTATATCTAAAAGTAAGTAAAAGGTCGTACAACAATTTGTATGATTCTGTTATATTAATTAAAAATACGACTGTATATTCATTAAGTATTTACGAATAAAGTGGTCAATGATCATTACATATTACATTTACCAGTGAATAATTTCAAAAAACAAACAAATGATTTATTTTTTAAGTAATATTATTTTTCAATGGATGGACTCAATAACATTTTAGTGTAATTATCATCGTGACGAATCTAGGTTGAGCAAAGTCGTCCGAATGGTTTGAAATCGAAAATAAGACAACTAGCCAGAAGAAACGACCATTCTGATGGTAAAAGAACGGACTTATATACAAATTATTAACAAAACTAATGACTAAGTGTTTTAAAACGATTAGACAATATTTTGTAAATTTCAGACTCTCCAATCGATAAAAACATACCCGTCATTATTATGTTTCGACACATGAACAACATTAAAACCTTCGTTCTTTGATCCCACTTTATATAGGTCATTTATATCACAAATAAAATAAGCAAAAAGATTATCCTCACTTCGTGCTTCCAGTGAAGTTGATACCAGCAAGTTGAGGATGTTCACAAATTATTTTACCAAATGTTGGGCCATCTGCAGGGACAAAGTTGATTACACCAGGGGGTAAACCTGCTTCGCGGAATAATCTTTAGAATTACATAATAAAGAAACTGGAAGATATGAGAGTCAGCGTTGTGAAGTGTAGCACATAAATGCGAATAAACACGTACAATAAATTTAGTACGTCAGAAATCTTCTTGTTATTATTATGACATTCACTAAGTATAGGTTTATGTACTCAGCTTTCAACTAAACTGCGCGAAGGTTAGTGATACTACCTGATTCCCAAGAACAAAGAGGAGCGGTGTTCGAACTTGAAACACAATGGATGGAAGTAGAGTGTTTTAACCGTTAACCCACAGCACAATGACTAGATTAGTAAACATCATTATTATTTTATTTTTTAAACACATAAACATTAATACGAGGCACCAAGTAGATAAGCACCACATAAATCATTCGATTTATAAGAGGGTTAGGATAGTACCTGGGTGCCAAAACCCCGAGCTTTAGATTTTGGGGTCTAATCCACAAGGTGCCCCCAAATGCCCTGGTACGGCCGAGAGTGGAGTGGGCCCGCCCTCCCTCTCGAAATGCTCTCACACGGTCATGTGTATACAGCCTCTGCCAAGGAAGTCCTACTCCGTGCCTCCTCGTGGTAGTGGTGTTCACAAAAATGAGAGGACGAAAAGCGAGTGTCCGGCGCTTTAACAGGATTCCAAACCAATGGTGCACATGGGCTCCAGTATCCTGAGGGAACAAATGGCGTATGAACTAATCGCTGGTCACAGGCTACCACGTGACTACATCTCCTCACGATGCTCCACTGCCTTGTGGGTCAGACCTTTAGGTCAAAGGCTCAATGTGGCCTCCTAAGAAAACCACCTGCTTCGGCCTGGGCACCCAGGAAGTATCACAGCCCATAAACAAACAGAATGAAATGACGATACTTACGGAAAATACTATTCCTGCTTCGATTAACAGTCAGACGATTCACATTATTATTATTATTATTTATTATTATTAATTAATTAATTATTTATTTATTTATTTATTATTATTATTATTATTATTATTATTATTATTATTATTATTTACTACGTCATTTATTCACTCTCTTTTATTCCCACTTTATGTATCCTTATTTTTCGACTTATACAGCAGCTCGCCTATGGCGGAAACTCGGTTCTATCTAAACGTTCTCGAGTCACTGTTCGGTTGAAAATTGAATGCTACCACCAAATACGAATACTGAAGCAGTTTTTCTGGAACCACGTGCACCATTCAAACTGGCCGCATTCAACGTCCGCACACTTATGCAAGTCGGACAACAGATAGGGATGGCTATGTCTTTGGAAAGTCTTAATATTGATGTTTGCTGTCTAATCGAAACCCGTATTCAAGACTCTGGTGAAGTACTACAAATTTGCTCTCCATTTGTCGCTTCGAAAAGCTTGTTTTATGTGCGTTTATCCGGTGACCCTGTGGCATCTTTGTCTGGTCTTGCTGGCGTTGGTGTCGCACTAAGCGCTAAAGCCGAGGCAGCACTAATCGATTGGATTCCCATTGACAGTCGGTTATGTGCTGTTAGATTAGAAAGTTCCATCAAAGTGAGAAGAAATCGGCGTGAGAAACGATGTCTTTTCGTCATCTCCGCCTATGTCCCGATAGATTGCAGCCCGGATGCAATCAAGGATGAATTCTACCACCAGTTAACTGTTCTTCTCAGGAAAGTGCGTTCGATAGATATTGTAGTACTAGCTGGAGACTTGAATGCGCAGGTTGAGTGTCTAGGCACAGAAGAGAATCGTTTAGGTGGCCGATGAGGACTTGTTGGTCGCAGGACAGATAACGGGGACCGTCTACTGCAACTGTGCACAGATCACAACCTGTTTCTGGCTAGCACTAACCTTTGGCACAGTCATCGCCGATATGCCACCTGGCATCCTCCCTCTGCATCTCAAGCCTGGACTCAGATTAATCACATCGCGATCAGCTACCGCTGGCGTGTTGTGTACAAGAATACTGCTCCTTTTGGAGTATCTATCTGGACTCTGATCATGTCCTGGTCTGCGCCAATCTTACCTTACTTTTCAGTGGACAACGAAGTGACCGCCACCAAAGGATTGATGTCAGCAAGTTGGTTGCAACTCCTGTTGCTAGTAAGTATCGAACCTAGCTAGGTTCTAGGCTAGCTACCATTCCACCGAAAAATATAGATGTGCATTGGTTGCAACTTCATGACACCATCAAAATGGCGAGTAAATCCGCTTGCAGCTTCGCGAAACGTCCCGCTTATAAGCACTGGGTTTTTTCTGGTTCCTTAAAACTCATTGAAGCTCGTCGGTCTACTCTGGGTGACCGTGAGTTTGACCACAAACGAAGGGTTTTACTTAATGAAATTGAGCACAGCTTGTGTAAGGAGCGATAAACTTGGTGGTCGGAGTGTGCTAATGAGCTGGAAGCAGCAGCTGCATCTGGTAACTACCGGAAGCTCTTCCAACTCATACGGGCCACCGGAAGCGAAAGGTCTGGTGTGAGCGAAACAATCTGCGAAAATGACGGAACGCCAATCACTAACATCCATCGACGTCTTGGACGATGGACAGAATTCTTCGAAGGGCAGTTCAACTGACCTGCTGCTCCGGCAACATCGGTCAGACTGTCCTGCCCTCCATGGCCGGTGACGACTGATCCACCAAATGAGGAGGAAGTCCGCAAGGAACTCCAACTCTTGAAGCGTTACAAATCACCGGGCCCAGATGACTTACCTCCGGCCCTTTTTAAAGATGATGGTGACTTTCTGACTAAGGAACTGACGACGTTGTTTACAAAGGTTTGGGTGTTAGAGAGTGTACCAACGTCATGGAATGAGTCGATAGTTGTCCCTATCTTTAAAAATGGTTCACGTCGTCCGCGTAACAACTATCGGGGGATAAGTCTACTTCCGATTGCATCCAAGCTATTGGCTTCCGTCATACTTCGTAAGTTGTTCAAAACTCAAGAAAGATTGACTCGCGAGGTGCAGACTGGTTTTCGTTCTGGTCGAGGATGTATTGATCATATCTTCATACTCCGCCAAATGTCAGAACACCGTCATACTTATCAAATGCCAACAATCGTAATGTTTCTTGACATCGGGGATGCCTTCGATTCATTGGACAAGACTGTTCTTTGGGATTGTCTATTGAAGAAGCGTGTGCCTGAGAAGTTTATTAATATCCTAAAAGCCCTGTATACAAACACCTCAGGCAGAGTGAGGGCATACAACTACTTTTCTCCATTGTTCCATTCGAGCAGTGGGGTTAGACAGGGTTGCCCAATCTCATCATTCCTCTCCAACTTTGCCATCGATGACATTCTGGAAATAGCTCTGATGGATGTAAGCAATGGCGGTGTGGATCTGTTGCCTGGAGAAAGACTTCTCGACCTTGAGTATGCGGACGATATTGTCTTACTGTGCGATAATGCCCAAGGCATGCAATCCGCACTTAATCAGTTGGCAATCAGTGTCCATAAGTATGGTATGTGCTTTGCACCTTCGAAGTGCAAAGTACTTCTACAAGACTGGCAGGATTCTAATCCTGTACTCACCCTGGATGGTGAGCATATAGAAGTTAGACGAAAAGTTCGTGTATCTAGGTAGCTGCATAAGTGCTGGTGGGGCTGAGTGATGAGATCAATGCCCGTATAGTGAAAGCCAGAAAGGCTTATGCCAATCTGGGCCACCTTTGGCACCTTCGTGATGTTAGTCTGGCTGTAAAAGGTCGGATCTACAACGCGTCGGTAAGAGCAGTTTTGCTCTATGCTTGTGAAAGCTGGCCTCTCCGAGTTGAGGACGTTAGAAGACTCTCTGTGTTCGATCATCGTTGTTTCTGAAGGATTGCTGACATTCAGTGGCAACACCATGTCAGTAATGCAGAGGTTCGGCATCGTGTGTGTCACCATCTTCAAACACCGACTTCGGTGGCTTGGACATGTTCTACGAATGTCGTCCCAGAGAATCCCATGTCGTGTATTATTTGCCGACTTTGAGACTGGTTGGAAAAAGCGGAGAGGTGGTCAGTGCATGACATGGTGTCGTGGTATGAAAGAAAGCTGCAAAGGACTGGCTTGTGTCGGTCCTTCACGACTCCCTGGTTGGGGTTCGAGAGATGGTTCTACACAGTGGCTAGAAACGTTATCAGATATAGCTCAGAATAGAAGCCAATAGCGATCCTGCTGTAACCTTCTTTTACTTTCTTCATAAAAAGTGGTTGTATCTTCCTTAACTGAAAGATTTCTTTTGGTTCTACCTTTTCGTCTCCCCCATTATTATTACACTACCTTACACTAATCTGTGGTTGTTACTGTTCTTCTTTTTTTTCTTTTACGCTCCTTACCTTCCTTTTTCTTCTCTCCCCATTCTCATTGTATTGTGTGGCGCATATATATTTGGTGCCTTCTTGTACCAATATTTATATGTTTAAATAGATAAATAAATAATAATCTACAAGGCAGTGGAGCAACGTAAGGAGATTCATTCCCATGATAGCCGGTGACCAACAATGGGTTCATATGCCATTTGTTTCCACAGGATCCTGGAGCCTATGTGCACCATTGGTTTGGAATCAAAGTTTTCAAACTCACCGGGTTGGTACACACGGAGCGCCGGACATTCGCTTTCCGTCCTCTCAATGCCGTAAACGACACCCCCACTGCGAGGAGGCAGTGAGTAGGACTTCCCTAGCAGTGGTCGTATGCACCTGGTCATGTAAGAGCATTTCGAGAGGGAGAGCTGACTCTCCCCACTACCGGCCGTACCAGGGCATTTCAGGGCGATTAGTAAACAAATGGTTTATAGTCCCAACACATACAAGTACCAAAACTGTTAACTAGTAATACCATTTAGTTAAAACTTAATTCACAATAGCTGTGCAATTATGCAATCATGAATTATTATATTTCAGTTTAGTTTATCTGACAAAAGTTTTGCTCCAACTTTTATTTTAAAGAGTGATGCCAATAAAAAAGTGGTATGAACTAAAAGGATACAGGAAAGCGCAGAGTAAACAAGACCCGACCGCTGTTGCTACCTTGACGTGGTGGTCGGGCTTGCCTATCGTGATGACCCAACCGAGCTATATTGGCTGGAACATATGTTCCTGTAGGTTCTACCATACCAGGCAGGTCGATTGGTGAACGGTAAGACTAAAAGCAGCAACTCAAAGTCCGAGGGCGAAGTCGTACTGCTGACTGTACAGAGGTGTGACAGCAGTAAGGTGTTTCCTTCGGACAATCAGCATGACAGCGATGCTGCCTTCCCACAAGGAGGGGTGGGGTTAGAAAAGGTCGACCCTAAAAATGTCACACCTCACCTTACCTCACGGATTTCCGTCTCCGGCGGTAAGGCCATCTGAAGAACGGAGCTAACACGTCAAAAACCTTCTACAAAAAGGCCGTGCGCGACCGGCCTCAAGCAGTTGTCCCTTGGGCTCTGCGGTCACGCTCCCAGGTCGTTAAGACCAACACTAATCCGATTTCCTTTTCAGGTTCCTCAAGAAATACCCTTCCACGGTGTGGGCAGCCGGGAAGTGACATCAGCCCTCATACCCGTAACAGCACGCGAGAACAAGTTGGTCATATTCAAATCCTTCCTACACCTAATAATTCTCTTATCTCCATGACTAACCCTCCTCATGTCTCTTTATCACCTCGCACCGCTAGGGCAAACGATTCGAGTACGTGGAACGCTATTCCTGGTCTCCTGAAACCACGCTCTAAACTACACGTAGGAGCTTTTAACGTACGAACACTGTGCCAAATAGGACAGCAGGCTTCCTTAGCTAGGACTTTAGAATCTCGCGCCATCGATGTGTGCTGCGTCTCCGAAACGCGCATACAGGATCCAAGTAGCATCATTCATTTGACCTCACCATGCCAAAATAAAGAACCGACTCGATTTACGCTTCGTGTATCTGGAAGCCTTGATTCTGCTTCCCGTGGCCTCGCCGGCGTAGGTATAGCATTGAGTCCTAGGGCAGAATTAGCTCTCTTAGAGTGGATCCCAGTAGACAGTCGTTTGTGCGCTGTCCGACTGAACGGAACAGTAAGAATCCGGAAAGATAGGGACACTCGTCGTTGCCTCTTCGTCGTCTCTGCCTATTCTCCCACTGACTGCAGCTCAGAGGATGTAAAAGATGAGTTTTATAGAAAGCTTTCGAACCTTCTCCGAAAAGCTAAGCGCTCGGATGTAGTAATAGTGGCCGGTGACTTTAATGCTCAAGTAGGTAAACTAAGCGATAGGGAAAGACACCTGGGTGGATCTTATAGTATCGTGGCTCAAAGAACAGATAATGGCGACCGTCTGTTGCAGCTATGCTCAGATAACCGCCTGTTCCTTGCAAATACTAACTTTAAGCATAAGGAAAAACATCTTTTAACATGGCGACCCCCTAATTCGTCCCAACGTTGGACCCAAATAGATCACATCGCTATCAGCCACCGATGGAGGGGCTCGATAGAAGACTGTTGCTCATTCTGGAGCACATGCCTAGATTCAGATCATGCTCTAGTGCGAGCGCGTATTTGCTTGCGTCTTACTGGACGTAGGAAAGACGCTGCAAGGAAACCTCTTAGGGGCCTACTTAATGATAGTCAAGCTAAGAGTATATTTAAGGAACAACTAGGAAAACAGTTAGGCAGCCATGTATGTGATGCCCACCCCGATGCGGCTTGGAATGATATCCGAAAAGCTGTGGAAACAGCAGTGATATCTGCTAGTAAGGTAAATCAGAAGGTTAGGGAGCAACACTGGATCTCAGCAGCATCTATCGCACTGATAGATGCTCGGAAACTCATTCCACCTGACTCTGAACATAGTGAAGAGCGGAGTCAGCTTAAGCGCAAGCTGACAAGAAGTCTACGCAATGATCGTGAACAGTGGTGGGTAGCGAAAGCAAGAGAGATGGAAAAGGCAACGGCAATAGGTAATAGCAGACAATTGTTTAGACTCGTTAAGGAAACCGGAATTAGGAACCCGACTGTTAGCGAAACAATCTCAGAGAAAGATGGACATATTATTCATTCTCAATCCAGGAGATTGGATCGATGGGCAGAACACTTTAGGGATCAGTTCAACTGGCCTTCAGCCACACTTCGGTTTCTCACGATCTCCAGTCAACCTGAATGGCAAGTTAATGTAGGTCCTCCGTCTCTTTATGAAGTTGAAAAAGCCATAGGAAATCTGAAACGAGGGAGAGCAGCAGGCCCTGACAGGTTTACTCCTGAGATTTTTAAGGATGGTGGTCCAGTATTAGTAGTTAAATTAACTGAGGTCTTAGGTAGAATTTGGGAACTGGACGTAATCCCATCTGACTGGTCTCAATCACTGATTGTGCCAGTCTATAAGAAAGGACAAAAGTCCTCTTGTGACAATCATAGAGGAATCAGTTTGACTAATATAGTGTCTAAAATATTAGCTTCAATAATACTTCGACGCCTAATCAAAGCTCGTGAAGAGCAGATTAGAGAAAACCAGGCCGGTTTTCGACCTGGACGTGGTTGTATAGATCAGATATTCACACTACGTCAGGTTCTAGAACACAGACACACATTCAGACGCCCCACAATGGTAGTATTTCTCGATCTCAAGGCGGCATTCGACTCTGTTGACCGTGAGGTTCTATGGCAGTGTTTGTCACTGAAAGGAGTACCAAAGAAGGACATTAACCTTATTCAGACTCTCTACTCGAACACAACTGGTAGAGTGAAAGCTTATGGCTAACTGTCATTATTGATTACCTCAAGTGGTGTTCGTCAGGGCTGTCCACTCTCCCCATTCTTGTTCAACTTTGTCGTCGACGTACTTTTAGAGATAACACTCTCCTCATCTAAATTTCCGGGGGTTGAACTTCTACCGGGAGGTTCACTTGTTGACTTAGAATATGCAGATGACATAGTTTTATTTGGTGAAGACGCTGACAAAATGCAGTCTTCTGACCACTCTAAGCAACAATGCAAGCATGTTCGGGATGCGATTCTCTCCCTCGAAATGCAAAATGTTGCTTCAGGATTGGGTTACATCGACACCCGAACTAGTGATAGGGAGTGAAGTAGTTGAGTGTGTCGACCGCTTCACTTATCTTGGAAGTCTCATCAGCCCTTGTGGTTTGGTGTGTGACGAAATCTCAGCACGAATACAGAAGGCTCGACTAGCTTTTGTCAACTTGCGTCATTTATGGCGTAGGCGAGATATCCGTCTATCAACCAAAGGACGTGTTTACTGCGCAGCAGTTCGTTCCGTCCTACTTTATGGAAGTGAAACATGGCCGGTAAGAGTAGAGGATATTCGTAGGTTACTAGTATTTGATCATAGGTGTCTTCGAAGTATTGCTCGTATATCCTGGGACCACCGAGTAAGTAACGCAGCTGTTAGAAAACGGGTACTAGGTAAGGATGGCAAATCAATTGATGAAGTAGTGAAACTTCATCAGTTGAGATGGCTGGGACACGTGTTACGTATGCCCAACCACCGACTACCTCGACGTGCTATATTCAGTGGTATAGGAGTAGGTTGGAAGAAAGCTAGGGGCGGCCAAACCAAAACATGGCACAAATCCATGAAGTCACTGACAAGTGGACTGGGTCATGTTGGTAGGTGTAGACTACCTGGTTGGGGACCGCGAGATGATAGCAACCGATGGTTAGAGACCCTGAATGACATGGCTCAAAATCGTTTGCAATGGCGCAGGTGCATCCACTCTCTATGTTCTCCCAAATTCTAATCTTCTGAATTCTTCATGTCCCTTTTTTCCTCTTTCCAAATTTATTTCACTGGATTATACGCGTTAAATAACATATCCAAACCCTAATCTTCCCGATTACTGCTTATACTCTTGCTACCTCTACCACTACGGGATTTGAATCGACCACTGCATCTCTGTGCTAATGTGGTATGGCAACTCGAACTGATGTACATACGTACGAAGTTCTACGTTGTTACTGACTGACTGACTGAGAGTAAACAAGATCAAAATAACTGGATTGTCAAATTTGAAAGCAGATGAATGATACATCAACACCACAGAGACATATCTGAGCTACTGCAAAAACGGATTTTATTTACTGATTAACACTACAAAACAGACAAACTAAATATTTATCAGAGTAGACTGTTATCTCCCATTTCTCATAGTAGTACATAGTATTCGTTATCCATTCATTGAAAGTGGGTTAGTGAGAACCATATTTTACAAAGTACAGTAACTCAGACAATGAAAATGTCTCTTTAAACATTGAACCAACTAAATCCCGTATAATATAAACAATTCTGTTATTTCAAAACTTTGATATGAGAAATACAACTTATGGATATCTCCACTATGAGCTGAAGGTTTTCGATATCTTTGGCTACCAATATTTTCATGGTTTGCTGAAACTAACGGAAGAATTATACTAAAATTTAGTGGTCTGAATTTGAAGAAATCGGTGATTGATCAATCATAATGCGCGTCAGTTATCAGAATTACGAAGAACACCCGGTCGACAGCGCAGTTTGGTGGTCGGAAAACCATTTGTTTGTAAGTATATTAACGAAGATTATGAAATCCCTACAAACCCATAGACCTTAATTGATTATATATCCATCTACAAATGTTAATACGTATCATAAGGTCAGATTTACCAAGAAATACCTCTGTTTGGACAGAAAAATAGACAATATGGCTCTTGTATGACTACTACAAATTATCTCCAAAAAAAGGATATTGTAAAAATATGTTCAAATGAACTTCTTACCTGTAAACAAGATAATTAGAATATATGGATGTATCAGCGGGTTTCCAAATCACAACATTCCCCATTAAAGCTGGGGCACTTGCTAGGTTCCCTGCAATAGCGGTAAAATTAAATGGTGGTATAGCAGCCCAAAACCCCTTTAAGAAAAAGAGACAAAAAATAATCAAAAGGGATGAATGATGACAATTACTTCATTTGCTCGGTAAACTACTTCATTCTTTGCATCCTGGGTATTGATTGGTTTATATTGCAGAGCTTCCTGTGGTTAAGAAGAGATTTGAACTTGAAGTAAATACATACTGAGGCAAATTTCACATTAAAACGCAAAAAATCTGCTAATTCTGCAGCTGCGTCAATCTCAGCCTGAAAAATTGTTTTCGCCTTATAGTGGGCACAGCCTAGAATAGAAAGTATATGGTCTTACTTGACCGAGAATAGTTGATGCCAACAATTCCATGCGATATTTATCGCTAACAAGGTCCGCTGCTTTTAAGAATATCTTAGCGCGTTCATCGAAACTTGTGCGTGACCACGTTTTACGAGCCATTAGACAAGACTCAATTGCATATTTTATTTGCTCTTCTGAGGCATGATAAAAATTGACCAGTGTTTTCGAATGCTCAAATGGCTTGATTCTTCCCATTAAAAAAAAACACTTTCTTGACATACCAAAATCTGCCTTCGAGGTTGTCCGGATGATAATTCGTTTGAATCAATACATATAGGCACATGATAAGGCCCGTTTACAATCATAGTATCCAACGTACTATCCAACTTCCGACGTTCCGTACTATCAGGTTTATGCAACAGAACTGGTTCGTTTGTGACCTGGAAAAGCCTGCTCAATAGTTTTTGGTACTGCCATTTCGGAACACAACGACAAACGCTACACGATCTACAAGTAATTTGCAGAAGATACTGTAGTTGAAAAATCAGGAATGGAAGAAACTTATCTTAATAAGTCTACAACATAAGTAGTCTTTAGATATGCGGTACCTTGCAATCGTGATGATATGATGTATATACATATACGTATGTTAAGGGTTATTGGGGTGAAAGTACCGAATCAAACAAAACATGGGTTCTTAAGTACTTCAATAACTACACATATCTCTTTCTTTTGAAGTACCAAAAATATAACTAACCTTCCAACTTAGAGGAAGATGTGAAGCAATTTTATGAAAGTCGCATTAGAAATTTCGAGAAAAAGTTCAAAATCCCCAATATTCGCACACAATGTTGGGGTTTTTCCAAAAACATTCCATACAATTCACACTACATTTACACAAACTGGGGAAATCTAATCAACATCATTAAGACATCCCGGAAATCTCCAAAAAAGGAAATGCACCTCCCCACTACTCGTAACTAAAATTTTAAATTTTCACAAACTTAACGCCCTTAGAAAACTAGTCACTTACTAGTTGTCATAAGAAATTACTGTTTGTACCAGGCCTCTCTGTATCAGTCAGTCAATCATCTACAACGTAGGACCAGGAAAATAAATGCATGGATACAAGTTGCCACACCTCATTAGCACAACAGGATGAACACCAAATTCATAGTAGTTAATTCAATGATAGTAATATATAAAAGCAAGATTGCATATGAGAACTAGTTGGTAAGAAGAAAAGTATAAAGCAACTTTAATCTCACTGTTTAAGAGAAGACAAAGAGTGTATACACTTACGCCATTGTGATCGATTCTGAGCCATGTCACCAAGAGTCTCCAACCACTGGTTACGATAGTCACGCAGACCCCAACCGAGTAGTCTGCATCTACAAACAGGTCTAAGACTAGAAGCTAGCGACTTCAAGCACTGATGCCATGTTTTGGTTTGGCCGCCCCTACTCTTCTTCCAATCATCCCCTACACTAGTCAGCATGCGCGTCGTGGTAATCGGTGTTCATGTATACATAACCCAACTACCTCAGTCGATGAATATTCACAACTTCATCAACTGACTTACCATCATTACCTAATACCCTGCGTCTAACCTCACTATTACTTACAAAGTGATCCCAGTAGATGCTGGAAATATTTCTAAGACATCTGTCATCAAATACTAGTAACTTACGAGTATCCTCTACTCTTAATGGTCACGCATCGACAACTTCACATATCTTGGACGTCTGATCAGCCCTAACGGGTCGATGTCTGAAGAAATCTCTGCGATGATTCAAAAAGCTCGTTTGGCTTTTGCCAACTTGGGTCACCGATAGCGAAGGCGAGATACCCATCTATTAATAAAATAACGAGTATAGTGTGCGGCAGTTCGTTCTTTTCTACTTTGCGGCTGCGAAACGTGGTCATTAAGAGGCAGACGCGCTAGCAGACGACAAATTCCAAGATCACTTTATGGGTTGCAATTATTGCTAATTACAATTCAGGTGAACAAAATGTCGGGGGTAAAGGAAGATGATCACTGTAAAACTGATAGGTCTTTATTGGCCCATGTTATCACCCTAACTCCACATTCAGTATACTGTATGAAACAAAGCTGAAGGTGGGAATTAGTAACTACCGATTTCAAAGAACAGTTAGCAGTAATTGTTTATAATAATCACATATCCCCTAGTGCGACATGTGAAAGTGACTAGGTATGACCAGAACTCTGAATAATCTTTACTAGATCCTATATTGACCTATCACATGGATGAAGTCACGAGCCCCTAGGTAAAAGTGACCATGCAGTTCTAATACTTGACTTCTGTATAGTTGTCAAGAACGAGCACGCGTCAGCCTAATCCAGACCTAACGTCTGGAAAGCAAATATAGATATTATACGCTCAGCATCGTCAGTAGATTGGATAATGGAGCCAGAGTCCCCAATTGGAACAGCTTTTGATGTATTTCGGAATTTGCTTAAAAGTTACTGTACCCCATATACCTTGGACTACACCAAAGGGTCCGAGAAACTCTCCACCATGGTTCAGTAGGGAGGTTCGCACTCTTCTCCGTAATAGAAGAATGTGGAAAGGATTTAGGTTACTGGGTAGTGATGAGACGAAATCTCAGTATTGAGAAGCTCAAAATATTTGTGCCTCGACCCTCCGTAAGTCTAAAAGGTTGTCCAAAGAAAAAAATTGTTAAGTAATCTATAGGATACCCTAAACGCTTGTATTCGTATATAAACCAAAGGACTAAAAGAGGAAATATTCCGGAACTATGGGGAGACAATAATGCTTTATCATTAGTGTAGGAAGACTATGGTAAAGCTCAGGTATTCTCACATCACTTTAGCAATGAATATACCGTAGAGACACCCTTCCCTTCAGTTCATACAAACCCCCAAACATAAACACACTGGATAGTATGGCCATTAAAGAACTTGATATCTTTGGTCTACTAGATAAGCTTGATATAGGTAAGTCCGCTGGACCCGATGAAAAGTATCCTACTACTAAGTTATGTTTCAATCTATCTGTAACCCAGGGTCGATCACCAAGACTGGAAGAACGCCATATTAAGTCCTGTATTCGAAACAAGTACGAAGCATAAACCTGAGAACTACTGACACGTTAGCCTTAGCGGAGTGAGTCAGGGTACAGTTTTGAGGCCAGTGTTATTCCTCTTCTATGTGTACAGTACTCGTGAGTCTTAAACTCGAGTATTGCATATAAGAGGCCAGTCCCTGTTTAAAAATACAATGAGCTTTCGGAAAAGGTCCAGAGAACAGCAACTAAGATGATTCCCGGAATAGCGAAGCTTCCGTATGATGCTCGACTGACAGAACCAAACCTATTGTCATATCGAAGAACCAGAGGTGACTTGATTAGTTTTCAAATTACACAGTGATAAATTTGCATTTGATATGCCCTCATTTTTCTTGTCTTCCAAAAGAGAATTTGCGAGGACACTCCAAAAAAGTTCACAAGCCCAGGACAAATTACTTGTCAACTGACTGTCAGCTTTGCTATCGAATCATCAACGAATAGAATTCACTACCTCAACACGTGGTTGAAGCTCCATCTATCGACTCTTTCAAAAGAAAGTTGGTTCAACTGAAAGACCACTATTGTTAGGACTAACACATGCCACCTAGCCTCTTGTCCTTTCCAAACTGAAACTGAAATATTCTTGTCCAAGTGTATCGTTTCCACGGTTTAAAAGACACTTGGTCAGTCAGACTGACATGTGGGAGAAAAAAGACTTCGTTTGTCCAGCTTACATGCACGATGAAAGATACAAAGTATATATATTAGCTTCAGGTTCATGATTGCATAATCAGCTTAGGTTGTAATAAATTGCTTCAGTGATCTTCATTGTAATGTTCAGCTTGTCAACAAAACGCTGGGTGACATTACAGTAGGTTTCCTATTTCTAATGAATGTATAAATTTTACTATAGCTCATGTTATTCTCAGTTAAACTCACATTCGGTATACTCTAATCTTATATTTGCCAATAGTAGTAATTGATTTTCTTATTTTGGCTTTCTGTCTCAGAATACCACGAAATTAAGTGGATAGTAAACGTTTCGAAGCATTTCTTCCCAGTACATCTTTTTAATTTCATTAAATACACAATTTAATTTATAACACGGATGTAAGGTATGGAAAGTGTTGAAAAGAAAGACTACTCGCATTACAATTAAGGACTTAGTTATGTCAGTCCATTCCATAAAGTAGGGTTTGAAAGGTAATGATGAACGATTAAGGCGCTATATGTACAAGCCAGTTTTTGTTGTAGTAGCTAATTCATTTTTTATTCTAAGAGACGCTACTAAAAAAGTCCTCCACAAAACTCCTGGACCTAGGAAAAGCCAAAAACTATTGGAACTTTTGGGATTTCTTATTAATAATCCACAAGATTCTCCCCAATCCATGTCGAAAATCCGGGTGGAGTTTAGGAAAATTCTTAAACCATGGCAAAATAAAAGGACTTCCGTTGTAGTTTCCCTAAATGCACCCATAGTTTCGAATGGGACTGTCTCTAAATTTACCCGGAATTGATTAATTTTATTCTGAAGTCGGGAGCTCCAAGTTTTTGACGAAATTTAAACATACGCAGGGTACGTCTAGTGTTTCATAGATCGATCACTGTGGCATCAGTAGATATCGTATTAATTCGAAAATGAAATAAAAATCATAAACTTGTCACCTTGAATGTACTCCTAACATAGGTGAATGGATCGATAGGCGCAATTCAATAAGATAACTTAAACTCCCGCGCTATTTAAAAAGGACAGTGGTATTTTTCCTCGCTGAGTAAATTTGTTTGTTTTGATCGTTTATTACGTATCAAGACTACTGTTTTCACTTTAATTGAATTTATTTCAATTAAAGATTTTGACTAAAGTATCGTTTTTACTGTTTTGTCGTTGGTACTCTTGAGTACCTCTTATTCAACTGTATCTGTTAGTACTTTTGGTCCTAGCAATCTACAACTCTTCACTTTTGGTCATTGATAATTGTTTTTTTTTGTTTCTGAGTATCCTCACAGTTTAAAAAAAGAACCCCTCTTAAATGACCGGACAGTGTAAAAAAAGTAGTTGTCAACGTCCGGGTTGTCGCTATCCTGTTGAAAGCGGGATGCAGTGCGACGAGTGCAAAGGCTGGTACCACGAAGTCTGCACGAACTTAACGCCTGCTGCTTTCAAACGGTACAGTAAAAAAGGGTTGTGTGTGGCTTTGTCAACAGTGCTGCTCGGATGCAAACAGCTTGCTAACCGAGGCCATCTCACTGGTTGATGCTGCAAAGAAGTGCTTTAGCAAGCATAGTCGGAACGGGTCAAGCAGCACTCGATCTGTCGACACGCAAATCAACGTGAAGGAAACTAAGATTAGTCCGGTGGTAGATGACTCAAGCCTGTCAAAGAAGGAAAAGCAGTCTCCAAAGAGGCCTGCCTTAGACAAAAGCTCAAGAAAAGTAGGATCTTCTGTTCCCCGTCTCCCAGATGGGATCCAACAGGAAACACCTAGAAGCCGCAATCGCAAGGCTCGATCGGTTTCAAACGGTAAACATAACACGACCCATCAGGTCGTCGGCAACCCCCCAAAAACACAACACTGAGTTTGACGCAACTGTTATTGCTTCTACCAGCACCGTTGAGGAATGGGTAAAGGTTGCGAGGAAGAGAAGTAGGGATATAAATGGGAAACCTGCTCCCGTAAAAGTGGTTGAAAAATCGAAAGCTGATCATAGCGACAGATCAGCTATTTTTCATAGAATCAAGGAGAGCGATAGCTCTGAACCTAAAGCTCGTTTTGAGCATGACATTGTACTGATTAGGCAGCTGCTTAATCAACTCATGCCTCAAAATATGACCGGGGTCACCTTGCTAAAGGTGTACAGACTACGGAGTCTAACGGACTCGAAACCAAATCATTCCAGACTGCTTAAAGTAGTATTCGGCTCTTCGAACGAACGTGACCAAATTTTACAAAATGGGCACAAATTAAAGGGTTCAGGAGTCTTTATTCGAAAGGACCTACCGTTGGCAGACCGTGTTAAAAGACGGGAAGCCGAGAAAGAACTACAACATAGGTTAGACGCTGGCGAAAAAGACCTGAAAATTGTAAATTTTCGGGTTGTAAGACTTCGACAGAGAATGATGCCGAAGCCACTCTGGGTGAAACACGAAGGCACTTAAACAGGCTTCGGATCTGTTACACCAATGCACGAAGCTTACTTAATAAGCGATCGGAACTAGGTGTACAGATTGACTCTACAAAGCCAGACATAATCGCAGTAACAGAAACCTGGCTGACACAGGCTATAGATAGTATAGAACTTGATTTCGAGGGCTTTACGTTAGTAAGGGCCGACAGAACACAAAAGCGCAAAGGAGGGGGAGTAGCTCTATTCATTAGGAATGCTATCCCATTTACCATTGTCGACAGTGTATCTCATGAGAGTGGGACGTGTGAATTAGTTAGTCTTCGCCTAAAATGCAAGGGACAAGAGCTGCTGATTGGTTTGGTCTATCGCAGTCCAAGCTGTGAGGCAAATGAGATCCTGTTAAGCAGTCTCAATACTTGGTCCCAAAGTGGTCGATGTCTAATCCTAGGGGACTTTAACGCACCTATGGTAGACTGGGAAAATCTGCGAATTAAATCGTCGGAGAATTCTTTCGAGCAGGAACTAGTTGATGGGATTATCACATGTGCTCTAGTACAACATGTGAAAGAAGCGACAAGGTACGATCCGGACACTGAATCATCCTTATTAGATCTTAAACTGACTCACTATGAGGATGATGTTGCGAACCTCTAACATATGCCACCCTTAGGTAAAAGTGACCACGCAGTTTTAACTTTCGACTTCCATATAACTGTCAGTCATGAGGACGCATCAGTCCAGTCCAGACCCAACGTCTGGAAAGCAAACATACCAGCCATCATGCACTCAGCATCGTTAATAGATTGGACAATAGACCCAGAGTCCTCCATTGAAACGGCCTGGGACGCATTTCGAAATTCATACTTAAAAGTTACCACACCTCACATCCCTTGGACTATACCAAAGGGACCGAAAAACTCTCCACCATGGTTCAGTAGGGAGGTCCGTATTCTTCTCCGTAAGAAAAGGAAGATGTGGGATAGATTTAGGTTACTGGGGACTGATGAGGCAAAATCTCAGTATCGAAAGGCTCGGAACACTTGTGCCTCGACCCTCCGTAAGTCTAGAAAATTTTACGAAGAAAAACTTGTAAAGGAATCCATAGAATGTCCTAAACGCTTGTATTCCTATATAAACCAAAGGACAAGGAGAAAAGGAAATATTCCTGCTCTATGGGGAGACAGTACTGCTTCATCATTAGTGGAGGACGACTTTGGTAAGGCTCAAGCGTTCTCGAACTACTTTAGCAACGTGTATACCATAGAAGCGCCCTTCTCGTCAGCGTATACAGATCCCCCCACACATAAACTGGATAGCGTGACCATTAAAGAACTCGATGTCTTTGGTCTGCTAAATAAGCTTGATATAGGTAAATCCACGGGGCCCGATGAATTACATCCTAGGCTACTAAAGGAATTATCCAACTTCGTTGCAAGCCCTTTAAGTACATGCTTTAACCTATCCGTTACGCAGGGTCGCTTACCGAAAGATTGGAAAAACGCCATAGTAAGTCCTGTCTTCAAAACAGGTACGAAACACAAACCTGAAAACTACCGCCCCGTTAGCCTAACTAGTGTGGTTGTTAAAATATTAGAAAAGATTATTAGGGAAGAGCTGTTTAAGTATCTCGATAAAAACCGGATCCTCTCGGAGAAACAGCACGGCTTCAGAATAGGTTATTCTTGTCTCACTAACTTATTAGTGGCTCGTGAAAGCTGGTGCGCTCTTAAGGACCAAAAGCTACCTGTAGACGTCGCCTTCATTGATTTCAGTAAAGCTTTTGATAAAGTTCCGCACAACCGGCTGTTATATAAGTTAAGAAAAGTCGGGATTGGAGGCAATTTATTGATGTGGATAAAAGACTTCTTAGTTGGGCGTCAACAAAGAGTTCGGGTGAACTCAAAGTTATCTAGCTGGGAAACTGTGCTTAGTGGAGTGCCCCAGGGTACAGTTTTGGGGCCAGTGCTATTCCTCTTGTATGTAAATGACCTTCCTTGTCTCCTATCATCATCGGTCTTGCTATATGCTGACGATGTCAAGATATGGAAAGCGATACGATGTAAGAGTGATAGCTTAGAACTTCAAAATGACCTGAAGAAGTTATCTGAATGGTCTCAAACATGGCAGTTGCCGATAAATACTTCCAAGTGTGTTGTGATGCATATCGGTCATCAAGGCACAAATACATACATGATGGATAACACTGAGCTACCTGTCGTCCAGACATATAATGACTTAGGCGTTATCGTTAGTCAAGACTTAAAGACTACTGCACACTGCCGTGCAATAGTCGCCAAAAGTTTTAGATCGTTATGGTCAATACGTAGGGCTTTTAGTCATGTCGACGCTAAGACGTTTTTGACTTTGTATACAGTGTTCGTTCGTCCTAAACTTGAGTACTGCATACAAGCGGCTAGCCCCTGCTTAAAAAAAGACAGTGAGCTTCTGGAAAAGGTTCAGAGAACGGCGACTAAGCTGGTTCCCGGAATAGCAAAGCTTCCGTATGAATCTCGACTGGCCAAGCTGAACCTTTTCCCGTTATCTTATCGCAGAACTAGAGGTGACTTGATTACAGTCTACAAATTGCTTAGTGATAAATTTGCACCTAACATGCCCTCATTTTTCTTGTCTTCCAAAACAGAGAATTTACGAGGACACTCCAAAAAAGTTCACAAGCCGAGAACAAATTACTTGTCAGCTGACTATCGACTTTCCCATCGAATAATCAACGAGTGGAATTCACTACCTCAGCACGTGGTTGAGGCTCCATCCGTCGACTCTTTCAAAAGAAAGTTGGATCAACTGAGAGACCACCATTGCCAGGACTAACATAGGCCGTCGAGCCTCCTGTCCTTCCCAAACTGAAACTGAAACTGAAACAAAGTGTAAAAATTTAAATAGCTTTCAGGTTGTTCAATATTTAAAATGAAAACACGAATTTCAGCGAAGGGATCTCTTTTCAACGAATTTATTATCAAGCTGTACAATCGTATATATATAAATTCGTTGAAAAGAGATCCCTTCGCTGAATTTCGTGTTTTCATTTTAATGTTTAAATGGGAATTATCTGTCAATGTTCAATATTTAACTACCCGGCTAAATATCATATTCAATTCAGACAAAATCGACTTTTAGATTTATGAATATCATCATCGTATAGTGCTCAGTAAGATATTCTACCACCTCAGGGTGTCTAGTTGGAGCAATCTACAAGAAGCCCATTGTTGGCATCAAGTACGACAATCGTATGTTGGAAGGATTAACCCGCTCTACTCGTCTCGGATTCACTAATATCCTAATTCTAGGGGACTTCAGTCCTCTTAAAGTCAGCTTTTTTTTAACTTACATACATTGAAGGTGAAAACTCTACTGAAGCCCGGTCCTTCAACCTTCTCATTATTCAAAAATGTCAAGTCGGCAACAGTCAGACGCCGTCACACTTAAACAGTATATTTAAGAACGAAGAATTCTTAGTCGCGAACCTATCAATCCTGGCTCCCCTAGGGAAAGGCGATCACGCTATCATAGCCTTTCGTTTTATCAACAAAACTGATCTAGTACATCACACCGACAACAGGCACTAGAATTTCAAACGGTTGGATGTGTCAGCTTTACAAGACATTCTACAAC